TATTGAGTTTTCCCATTCATGGACATGATATACCTCTATTTATTTAGGTTTTCTTTTATGACTTGCAATTTACAATTTTGCAGGTTTTTTCCCCCTATAATGATCTTATGCATCCCTAATTAGAGCTATCTTTAATGCTTTCTGATTTATGGAATCTTTAAAATTATTATTATTGTTTTCCGTGGTTTTTGACTATTGTATAGGATTATAATTGAGTTTTGAACATCAATTTCCATCCAGCAAGCTTATAAAACTCTCTTATTAATGCTAATAGTATGAAGATTCTCTTTATGTGTAACTCTGATAACATAAATCTAATAATCTAAAATTAGTTTCTCCATTTATCAGAGTTACATACTCACACGGTTTAAGAGTCAAATATTTCTACAGGTTCTAATATGAAAACTGGAGTCTCCCTAACCTCCCATCACTTCCACCTCCCAGGGGCAAACATTTGCAACTCCTTAACTGATTATTTTAGATTTTACTGCCATATTGCATAGAGCACACTCATATTGCTACTTCTTGATTTCTGAGTCTTAGACATTATTTATTGAATTCATACTATGGAAGGTGAGGATATGATATCGTGTTACTCCTGACCTCATGCCTCACATGCATACTTTCTATTCCCCTTGCCCTAATATAATTATACTATAATTTTGGATAACTTAGTAGTCAGTGTCTATGTTATAATGACTATGAGATTGTTGTTTATGCTGAATCCTGTAACATTCCCACCTTTTGCTTATGCTGGTCCTCTCATGTGTGTGTCTATGTAACCACCACCATATCAGGATCAGAACAATTCCATGACCACAAAGGTCTGCTTTGTGCTGGCCCTTTAGAGTGACACCCATCCCCACCATACCAAACCTCTGGCAAATGTCAATGTTTTCTCTATGTCTATAACTTCAAGAATGTTATATAAGCAGAATCATACAATATGTGACATTTTGAGATTGATTCTGTGCATTCCACAAAATGACTTCAAGAAACTTACAAGCTGAGTGGTATTTCCTTGTATGGATGCAGCACAGTTGTTTAACCATTCACTTGTTATTGAGCATTTTGGATGTTTCCCATTTCTTGCTATTACAAAGAAAGCTACTATAAATATTCATGCCTGGGTTTTTGTGTGGACATCAGTTTTCATTTCTCTGAAATAAATGCCTGGGAGTGTAATTGCTGGTCATATAACGCACTTCCCCTCCTGAAAGAAGTCAGGAAATGATTCCTTTTGTTGACAGGAGGAAGCATTATTTCTGCTAGGCCTGTCCATGTCTCTCTGAAAACATAAGTTGAGTAACTCCTCAACTGTAGCTGCCTTCTCTTCCTGATTCCTATTTCACAATCTAGAAGCAGGAACTGTCTAGAATCTAGAAGCAGGTTGCTGTCACAGCCATGTCACCCCGTCATAGGCGCTTCCTCTTATATCACGGGGGGCGGGCCTTCCCTCCTCTCCACAGAGCACAGAAGTCACCGTTCTTCCCAGCACACACACGGGGACAGAGCAGGCTCCTCAGTCCTCCAGGATGCCCATCCCTGCCTCCCGGCCCCGCCCCCCTCCTCCTTGCCTGCTGCTGACTCTACTGCTGGGACTCACAGGTGAGCACTCCCTGGGGTAGAAGCCCCTCCTTCTGTCTGGGGACATTTAGGGCCTCCAGGTAAACACCGGTGCACCACCCAGAGCTACCAGAGATGGCCCAGGAGTGGGCTTTATCTGAGAGCATGAAATCAGGGATCTGAACGTTTTCTCTGTGGGTCCATCACCTGCAGCTGATCACCAAATGCATCGAAACAGATGGTGCTTAAAACAGCAACAAAGACAACTTTGTGTATATTAACTCGTCTAATCCTCACAGCAACCTGTGTGATAGCTAGGACCATTATCCCCAATTTATAGATGTGGATACTGAGGCAGAGAGAGTAACTTGCCCAGTGTCACCTACCTAAGGCAGTGGAGCTGCCGGGATTCAAGTTCAGGCCAACCAGCTCCAGAGTTCATTCCTTTACCATGCTTTGCTGCTCAGCTTCTCAGTGGAGGCCGATTGCAGAAAAATCAGAAAGTACAGAGAAGCAAACAGAAGAATAGTCATCACCATCACGCCCCTGAGAGATCACCAGAGTTCCACTTCTGCTGTGTGTACTCGCAAATTTTGTTAATGATGTGTTGGGTGGTTCCTTGTGCCAATTATTTTTACTCAGCTCTTAATATGTATTATAATTTCATCAAATCTTCAGAACAACTTTGTATACATGCTAGGCCAAACTTTTATATCTATTTGTGAATGCATGTATTTATGTGTGTGTGCATGTGTATCAGTTGGTGTGAGAAAGTGTACACACACACACATAACAGAGGCACACACACACACACAGGACTTTTGAAAAGACTTTCGTTATTGTTTTCTTCAAATCATTTTCAGTCTACATGAAATGCACATTGAACAGATGTTTAATTTTCCCTGTCTCTCAGCCAACATCTCTCCTTTCTACTTCTCTAAATTTACCCCTTACCCTCCTCAAACTCTTAAGAGAAGCAAACTTCTCTGTTTTGTGTGTTACTATCCTGGAGTTCCACTTCCACGCTGGACAGAGGTGAGGAGGAGAGAAGGGGATGAAGATACAGAGACTCCTGCCCATATGATCTGTATCTGTAATTATAGCCATATCCGTATCTGTATCCGTACCCATATCTGTGTCTCTGTCATCTAACGTCAGCTGAAGCCTCCCTCCCTCAGGAAATCTAATGAGTAATAACTTCAATGTCTTGAACACTCACCAT